AAAAAAAAAAAAAAAAAAAAAGAAGGTCATCAAAAAAATCTGAAAAACAAATATGTTATGGAGAAAAATAAATCATACAAGATTTGCCTGAGCATTACATGCGAATTCCTTACCAAATTTGAAATAAAAATAAAATAAAAAAACAAATACTAATAATAAAAATAAAAAGAGAATTAAATTTAGTAAGTGCGCGAGCCTGTTCTCGATACCGCCATCTTTGGCGATTTTTCTTTTTGTTTTGGCATAGCTAAATGCCCTGAAAATTTACTGATGTGCATTTCACCAAGTTAAATAATAAAATTGTTTAGACCCCGAACTAAAGTGAAAACAAAAAGTAAAAAGTGAAAAGATGCGTGGGGGAGCACGTTTTGACACCGCCATCTTTAGCGATTTTTTATTCTGTTTTGGCTTAGCCAAATGACTTGACAATTTACAGGCATGTACCTCAGGTTATAGAGAACTCACAGAAAACAATTCAAAAAACAATAATTATTTTAAGACCCGAAATATTTTTTGGAGGGGGCCGAACGCCGTCGGGTTCGGACCCCGTACGGGATCCCGAAAGCCCGTACGTACGGAGGTCTGCCCGGGGACCTCCGTACGTACGGGCTGGTAACCCTGTATATATATATATATATATAGGGTTACCTGACCAAACGTTCGGGGGCCGAACACCTCCAGGTTCGACCCTCGCCAAAAACAATTTCGGGCCCTAAAAATAAGTTGTTTATTCTGAATTTGTTTTTGTGAGTTCTCTATGATGTAAACTACACGCCTATAAATTTTGAAGCCATGCTGCTAAGATAAAAAAACATTAAAAATTGTCAAACATGGGGGTGTCAAAACGTGCTCGCCCACTCACTATTTTGTTTATTTTCACTTTTAACTTTTTGTTTTCACTTTATTTCGGGGCCTAAAACATTTTATTATTTTTTAAAAAACAATTAACGAGGTATTGATTATGTAAAATACATATCTGTAAATTTCCAGGGTATTTGTCAATGCCTATAAATAATTAAAAATCGGCAAAGATGACAGTGTCGAAAAGGTGCTGGCACACTCACTTATTTTAATTATCTTTTTATTCTATTTTTTATTTTTATCATAGTGTTTATTTTGTGTATTTGATTTGTAATTCAAATTTGGTAAAGAATTTGGATGTAGTGTTCAGGCAAATGTTGTTAAGTTTATTTTTCTTCATAACATATTTGTTTTCCAGAATTTTTATTATTATTATTTTTTTATTTTTTTTTATTTTTTGGTTTCACGTTCAGCATGAACGGTCGAACGCCTTCCGAAGGGGTCCCGTACGTTCGGGCGTTCGGCCCGTTCCGAACGCCGACAACCCTATATATATATATATATATTACGATTTCGCTAGCTTCCTGCTATGGTTTTTTCCGGTCAGGTCGAGTGGCAATGGTCGGGGCCGTTACTAGGCGGCCATGCTGTGCCTCTAGTGCCAGCGGCGTGTCTGGAGTGTATTTTTTGGCTGTGACAGACCTTTCTT